TATGTTAAATGCACTCCACTCTTTTATATTTTTGTTGGAGTAGACATATTTGACCTTGTGTGAATTGCACATTTTTAGTACACCGTATGTCTTTTTAATTACTCCAATCGTCCAAAGAATTAAAAAAAATTAAAGGATTGAATTATAAAAGATACAAGATACTCGTACTAAATTAAAGCATCATTCACTGTTTAAATATTTGAACTATATATATTTTTCGTTAAACTCGTCATGTTTTTCTTTTGGATCGTGGAATGACACAATTGTCTCTAAATCTTAAGTACAATTTTATAAATTTTATTTTTAGAATTCTACTTAAGCAAGTTAAAAAGTGCCTTAATCATGGAAAGAAGGAACTTAATCTTATTTGTTGCTAATTTAAAGTTTCCAATGTTTGTAGTAGATGAACAAAGATGGTGGGATAGAAGAAAACACAACGAGGAACAGATTTTATGTTTTAAGAAATCCCTCCCAGTCGGAGTCCCCCCATGCCAGATGTTGTTTTTTATATGTGCACTAATACTCATATTTTTATGGACATTTTTAATTAGTTTTTAGTCTTTCAACGGTTCTTATTTTTTTTAAATGGAATATAAGAAGTGTAAATTTATTGTAAGATTGAAACTTATGGAGACAAAAAAAATAATATGTGTTACATTATCATATACTTTTTGTTTGTTAAAGGATCGTGGTCGAGAAGACGAGTACTTAATATTAAAAATTCCAAAATATATAAAAGGAAAATTCACATGAATACTTTCAAAAATATGGAATTTTGCGTTAGTATTCTCAATTTCTAAAAAGGTATTTTGTTTTTATCTCTATACTGATCTTTTAAAAAAATAAATTAAAAAATTTACTTCCTCCGACCCAAAAAATTGTCGCACTTCACTATTTAAAAATTACAGAAACTTTTGTTTATTTTCGCTTTCATTGATTATTTGATAAAATAAAATATTCTTGTCACATCTTATTTTGTAGAACTTTTGATGTAGTTTTTTAAATAAGTAATTTTTTTAATTTCATATATCAATTTTTAAATAAGTTGAATAAAAAAAGCTCAAAAATTTGACGGTTCCTACACTTTTACACATACAACTTTCCCCAAGGTTCCAATATCATGGGATGACTCGCGGGCGCACCGGTGCCCCGTTCGTAAAATTGACGGTTCCTACCCCCGCTAACATCTCCGGTAAACCCCCTGATGGTGTAAATTACTTGACCGGTCAAACTATAATAGACCGGGTCTAGAATAGTTTGTTCGACTGAGCAAGGTAAGAAAGGTAAAAACACACGGATCGACCGGTAGGACTTTAGGTGGAACACCTGTAGCCCAATTTGTATTATAACGGAGAATGCACGGGTGCTTTTACAAGGGAGTTTAGAGAGAATGAATTCCGATCCCCCTTTCTGAGGTTTACATGAGTATTTATACTAGGCTAAGGGGACAGGACCACGTGCGCCCACGTGGAGGCACGTGTCTCGGATGTTGAGAGGTGATGGGCCTCGTTTCTTAGCTACCTTGTCGCCTTGTGAGGGGGATTATTCCCTTTGTCAGGTAGTGCCTTGGATGGATTCTTCAGAATCTCCAGTCGTCCTCTACTGACACGGGTCGCTACACGCCGAGCCCTCGTAGATTCTCCTCTGCCGACACTTTCCAACCTCAGAAACTACACCGGGTAATCTCCGAGAGGTGAATTCATCGAAGTCTGGAATAAATAGGATGATAGCGTAGTTTGACCGGTATACTTTTTTGTGAAGTGTACCGGTCAAATTTTGGCCGATGACATATCGTTTTGCTGACGATTTAAGTCTCCCTTCCGAAACTTTCGAGATTGACCGGTCAAAGATTTGGCCTTCTCCTTTGACCGGTCTTGGGTGAAATACACCCATCAATAAGCCCTCCACTTCTCGGTCATGCAATTTGTCATGAGCGGGAAGTAAAAAGCCTAAAACAGGACTCTTAAATTTAAATTTCTGGCTCTTCCCGCTTGAAAAATTCAACGAATTTGAATTTCAAATTTGAAAGGACTCGCCACGTGTCGGACACCAGCCGTTGCAACTGCCGGCTACCCACACGTCGTTTCGTCTGCCAAGTACCATCATTGCGCCGCCCGTTGTGGTGCAATCTCAAGGCGCCACGTCGCCTACTCTTGGCCTCCCCTCTCCTATATAAAGGCCTCCAACCCCTTTCACTTCTCACTTTTCGCACTTCGCCTCCTAGAGCTTTCACCGGTCAAGTCCCTTATCTTTCGCTATCCAGCCCTACGAGTCAAGTAAGTTCCCCCTTCTTTCTCTTTTTTCTTTCCCGGCCATGTCTTCGTCTAGCGATAGGATCTCGTCCTCAGAGGACTGTTCCTCTGAGGATTCCAACTCATCTTCCTCGACCGGGTCTTCTTCTCCTGAATCTACGCCCGGTCAAGTTCCCAACTCTTCCATTCCCGACCCGCATCCTGTAAATCAGGTGCCCGGTGAAACTTTCGCGGGGAGGGATGACCCGGTCGATGACGAACCGGGCCCCTATGACCCCGAACACGAAACCCGGGACGGGTGGGAGGAGCGGCTTCACGCTGCCGGTTACTTTCCGCTCCCCACTTTCTATGTCCTTGACATACCTTCCCGTGTATCCAAAATTGTTTTAAATAAAATCCGTAGGAGGCTCCCGGATGGGTATACCCTCCTCTACGAACCTAACTGGCCCAATATCGTTGAACCCCACCGGGAGGATAGGATAGGGTTTCATACCATTTCCCTGGACGCGGGCATAGTTTTTCCCCTTCGCCCCCTCCTTACTGAAGTTTGCCATGCGTTTAGGATTTTGCCCGGCCAAATCACTCCTAACGCCCACCGGTACCTCCATTCCTTCGTAAATATTTGTACCCATCTGAAAATATTCCCTTCTTTGCGTCTCTTCCTTTTTTGCTTCGAAGTCCTACCGGGCGGGGCTGGCTGCGAAGGCTTTGTATTATTCAAAGCCCGCACCGGTAGGAAGTTCATTTCCGAAGTCCCCCAGAGTAACCGGGGATGGAAGGAAAAATTTGTTTTCATCGAATTTCCCCCCTTCTTCACTCCTCTGGCCGGCCTGAAGTGGAATGATCATCTGCTCGACCAAGAGTACACTCCACCGGCTTCCTCCCCAGACTTGGAAGCGAATCTTGAGGTCCTCATTCGTGGGGATCCTTTCACCGGAAGGACTTTCCATTATGGCAGCTGGGTTTGGAGGGTTGAATCGGGTGGCGAGGGTACCTCCCAGCCCCATGACGCAGCGGGGCGCGGGGTACCCTCCCCGGGCAACACTGCGGAGGCTGAGGGCAACTCCCACCCAGGTACTTTTCATTTTTCTCGTGATTCGTAGTTGACCGGGCAAACTATTTGTACTTAATGTTTTTAGTTTGTTTTGCAGATATGGAGTTTGAAGAGTTCGCTATCCCCGAGGACCAACCAGCGGGGGAGACCGGGGGCTCCCAAACCAACACTGCCAGGACCTTCCCGGTCAATCCAGAGACCGTGGAAATCCTTGACGAAGAGGAGCCCCAAGAGGACCGGTCTAAGGGGAAGGAGAAAGAGAAGGCCGGTCGCCGGGTGAAGAAGGTGGCCACCACGCACCCCTCCTATGCCAAGAAGAGGGCAAGGTCAGATCCTGAGCCGGCCGGCCAGACCATCGAAGAGGCCTTCGTCAACCTGGGGCTGAGGCTGAAGGAGGTAAGTTCTACTGCTATCCCGGTCTTGATCCCTCTTCGCTATTATTCCATTCTTACCGGGCTTCTTTTTCCTCTTGTGCAGGCGGGGGAGATTGGACCCCTCACAGCCGACCGGCTTGGTTTAGGCTCTCCCTCGGAGTTTTCCCGGCTGAAGAAGGAGAAGGAGGAGATGGCCCTCATCTTGAAGAGCCAGGCTGACGAGCTGATCAGGCTATCTGGGCTAGCCGGGGCCATGAAGACCGAGATCTCCCAGCTGAAGGAGGAGAATGGCCGGCTAATGGATGAAGTCTCTGAGGTCCAGAGGGAAGCAGCGGAGAAGGAAGAAAACTTCCCCGGGCGCGCTGTCGCCTGGGTTGAAGAGAACAAGGCCGTTGCTGCCCGGGTGATGACGGCGACGCCGGAGACCGCGATGGAGTCCTTCAGGCTTCTGTACCGGGAGCCTGAAGGAAGGAGAATGATCACCGCGATTGGGTCCTTCGGATTCAAGAGCGGACAAAAGAAAGACCGGATCGCCTCTCACCGGGTACTACTTAGAAGAGACCCGAGCTTCAGCGCGGCATCCTACGGCCTGGCTCTAATCCCAGAAGAAGAGCCTACTCCCCCTTTCCCTTTAGATTAGGATCTCCCCGGCGTAGACCGGTTGTTCTTTGTAAAACTTCAAACTCATTTCCCCGGGAATGCCTGGTGTAACTGTAAAACATTTAACATTCTTATGACGATTGAATGCCATGTTCTCTTTTCATACCGGTTAATCTTCCACGTCTGATTGCTCGTTGATTTATACTTTGTATATCATAGAAATTTTGACCGGTACATAAATTAGGCCACTTCTCAATCTTTTTCGACCGGTGGAACTTCAAAGTTCTCTTTGATTACTTCATCTGAAGAGGAGTTGGAGTAACTTTGACCAGTTAAACTTCAATTTTTCCTTTTCGAACGTCTTCATCATGGTGGCCAACTTAAACAGTTTGACCGGCCGAACTTTACTTTGGCCTTTTGGGTAGTTTTGCCAACTCTTTGATAAAGTTTAAGTTTGACCGGTGAATTCCTACTCCATGGTTTGACCGGTCAGCTGCCTTGCCTTTCGATGGATGTAGAACTTTCGAAGTTCTGTTATGCCCATACCCGACCGGGGTATTTTTTTTTTTTTAATCGGTAGGTTGTAGATGGAAACACCTGTAACCTAGTAATTCTTGAAGTATTCTTAACCGGTAAGAATACTGGAGATTTAACCATGTCGAATGGTTTCGAACCCTCTCCAAGGTTCAAATGCACCCTTCTTCCAGGGCCCCCTCTTCCGGGTGATTAAGTCTTTTAATGGCCCTTTGATTTCTACCATCCCGGGAAGGCCTTAGCTCACCCCCCGTTCAAGTCTTCCCTGAGAAGGGGGATATAGGATGCGCCACGGTGGACGATCCCCTTCTATTTCTTTTAATGGGCATCTTTTTAGTCCCCAATCAATCTGACGGCGCCGGCTGATT